ATATGATTTAAATCAAATCCCTCCTCATTATAATTCGCTTCCGATAAAGAAGAACGTGACACAAAGGTTACTGAAAACGAAAAAATTTCGATTGATAAATTAGTCGGTATTCTCGACACAGCAATTATCGGACTTGAACAGCGGAACTTTGTAACTGAACAAGAAATTATGTCTGTTTATAGAATTAAAGAGAAAGTATTATGACATAAAACGAAGCTACTTAAACAACTTACATTGAAAGAAATGTTTAATAAAGTAAACAAATAAATATTAAGCTTTTTTTTTTTTTTTTTGGTAAATTTTGATACCCTTTAGATCATAATTGTTCTTTATTTCATAAATTTCGGTTTCGTATTTTTAATTTTATAATTTCTGCATGCCATCTTACCAGAGTTAAACTGATGATCTATAATCCGGAATCGCCGAAGTCCCGACGAGTCCGGATTAACGACTTTTGACTGTATTTAGCTATTATTTAATAACTTTTTCCACGACCCATATTGAACCACATTATCAAACCAATTTAACAAAGATATTTTTTTCTTTTTTTCCTCTCTCTATCTCTCTTTTGTTTTTTTAATGCTTTCTCAATCTCTCTTTCTATATCACATCTTTTAAATAATTGCAAACAGTTGCTACAAGAATGTAAATGAACTTATTCTACTTTTCCACTTTCAAACTCAACTCACTAGTTGTTAAATGAGAACTAAGTATTGTAAGATATGGACATCTTTCTCCCAGCAGTTAATTGTTCAGCTAAAATAAAAGTAAGACTATTAAACTTTCAGTATATATATATATATAGTATTGAATAATGATATTACATTGCTTAATGTAACTGATGATACATGTATTAATATAGTAAATACTAACTTTTATGAAGTTCTAAGCATTACCACAAATAACATTCATAAATGTTTTAAATTAATTTTATTTGATATATACAAACATAGCAATATCTAAGGTATTTTCTTCCTCCTTTCCGTATGCCTTCATGGTGTAACTGGGAGCACACTCGACAAGTTATTGAGAGGTCCAGAGTTCAAATCTTTGCAAGGGATATTGCAAATTTTTCATATCTCCTGCATCAAAAAAACCTAATGAGACTACAATCTATGAAGTATTCTATCTTTGGGAGTCAAAAAAAGGTTAAATATTTTTTAAATATAATGTAGATTAAGGTAAAATTTCTGTTTCTTTCATCCATTCAACTGATAATGCATGTATACTGATAAAGATATGTATATTGGTAATAATTATACTGTGTCACGGTTTTGACAATATTTCAGTCATATGAAAATACATTAGCTAATAAAAGAATTATTGAAAACAGAAAATTAAATGAAACCTGGCAGTATGGAAAGAAAACAATAGCAGCCATTACATTTCCAGAAATATATCGAAGTTCCTTTTCTTAAAAAACAGAAGGTGTATCGCAGTTTTCATTTGTGTATTTTGTTTAAAGATGAATTGGTGAAATAAATATTTTCTATAGTGTATCACCAAATAAATCAATAGAAAATCCATTCATTAAATAAAATCATGTCTTACACCAGATTCAAAAGTAATATTCTGAATCTATGTGTTTATCCATATTTAGCCCAAAATGTGCTTATTTCCATTATAAATTTAACTAAAATAAATGCTTATGACAGTATGTAGCCTTTTAATTGGGTAAAATGTGAAATTAAATATACTAGCAGATGATGAACAACTCAACCAGCAACCTCAAACAACTCACTTCCATTAGAGATGTAATTTAATACGTCCTTTGTTGTGATGTCATGGATGATCCTGCATAGTGCACCTGTGATTTCATTGGCCACACCCACTGCGTGATGTCACTGCCACATCCCTGAACCGTTGATACAGAACTGCCATTTTACCACTACTTATATACTTGTGCAGTGCATCATGCTGTACATCTAAAGTTAATCACACTTTTATCAGCCAAACCTTTTCTTGTCAGTATTAGAAGATTTATTGCTCGACACAGTCGTTCAGAAATCATTTATAGTGACAATAGCTTGAATTTTATTAGTGACGGCAAATTTAGTTGACTTCATTGCTTGGTCTGTTATAAAACAAGAAGCGATGCTTAAAGGAAAACAGTGAAGTTATATCCTACCTCAGATGCTGAAGGGAAATTTGGTAATGCTTCATTGGAATTATAAAAAATCTCTTAAGATTAGTCTTAGTAACAGCTTCATTGAATTGTGAAGATGAGTGTCCTGCATGAATGTGAAGTTACTTTTAATTCGAGGCCTTTATTTACGAAAATCTCCAGGTAAATAATAGGACAGATAATTTGATCACTTCAGAAAATATATCTATTAGAGATAGAACATAGTTCACTTCTTCTGATACAGTCAAAAGTCGTTAATTCGGACACCCATAATACAGAATGATCTATAATCTGGACCTCAAAGCTACAAACTTTCTACGCATGCATCGCGTTGAAGCATGCGCATAGGCATTTATGCATGCATGTAAGACCTTTATGGCTGTGCATATGTGTGTGCGCATAATACGTTTATGCATGCGCATAAAACGTTTACGCTTGCGCGTTTAATATATAATGTACAGTATAAGCTAAAATTATCTAATTATATATTTCAGTTGCAGATTGCATTGTTCCTTAATCTTCGAATTGGATCCGGCTTATTATTTTTGCAGACTGTTAGAGCAATTTTATAAAAATAAGCTTGAACTTTTGATTATGTCAAATATAATTTCTGATGCTGGAGCTCCCAAACGATCTACAAAGCGAAAGTATGTTTCGATGTCCATCAAACAAAAAGTGAAATTGCTGCAAAAAAATGGATAAAGGCATATCCTTTTTTTCTCTAACAATTCCGAAATCTGTTTATCAATTTCCCGCTGCTCTGCGGTGTGGGGGGGACGCCATGGCGCACAATGTACTGGGAGTTAATTTGTCAACACTATCCTTATCATCAGGGCAGATGTTTCTATTTTATTTGGCTTATAATTCATTACTAGATGTAGTATTTCATCTCGATGTACTCTTTCTTTGATATGATTTAAATCAAATTCCTCGTCATTATAAGTCGCTTCCCATAGTGAAGAAATTGACACAGAGGTTATTGAAAACGAAAAAATTTCAATTGACAAATTAGTCGGTATTCTCGACACAGCAATTATAGGACTTGAACAGTGGAACTTTGTGACTGAACAAGAAATTATGTCTGTCTATAGAATTAAAGAGAAAGTATTATCACATAAAGCGAAGCAACTTAAACAACTTACATTGAAAGAAATGTTTAACAAATGTTTAATAAAATTGTAAATATTAAGCTTTTTTTTTTTTTTTTTTTTTTGTAAATTTTGATTCCTTTTAGATCATAATTGTTCTTTATTTCATAAATTATGGTTTCATATTTTTAATTTTATAATTTCTGCATGCAATCTTACCAGATTTAAACTGATGATCTATAATCCGGAATCACCGAAGTCCCAACGAGTTCGGATTAACGACTTTTCTGATTCAGATCCAGACCTTTGTGAGTGTCAGTGCTTCGAAACCAGACAATTCCTTGGTTCGAAATATTCTGACAGCTACAAGAGATGTGATAATCACTAGAATTGGTAGATTACCTGAGAGATTTTGACAGAACTGAATGTGAACTCTAGTTTATTTCAGCCTTAATAGTTAATAAATATTGTGCTTGTGTAATTTGGTATATTTTTTTTTTGGTAAGTCAAGAACAGTTGTATTTTTTATTAATTTATATTGGTGTTGAATAAGAGTTTGATTGTAATGCCCTTCAATCAAAATGTTGGAGTGATATTGCATCTATGGTTGCTTTTTTCATGTGAATGATAGTCCAGCTCATAAGTTTCTTTCTATTTATGGCAGCCTCTTTTTTGTTCTATACCCACAAATTTACGTGCAACAAGACAATGTCTATTCTTTCTTCTGCTAGCTTAATGACTTCTTTATAATCTGAAATCCACAAAATTCAAATTCCCACAACATTCTACTTTAAGCAGTCCTTTGATCTATTGTATAACAATGAAAAATAATAAAAGAATTATTCAAAATTTTGGAACATAGAAAATACTGCTAAGAAAACTATATGATTACAGTATTTACACTGTACGTATGCTTGCTATATTGTTATTTTAATAGTAATATATAGCATACAAATTTACCACTCTGAAATCTAACAAGTTCAGAGTTCTAATATTATGCACAAATGAATCTAATAAATTGCATTTTATTTTCTGCTAATTACTGTACTCCAATCTGGTTCCTAAAGATTGAAATACAACCTTCCTGCAGTAGCTTATAATCCTACATATTTCAAATGCGATGAAAAAATATTCCAGAAACCAAATTTGATTATGAAGTGCTTTTAATTGAAGTCAGCGAGAAGAAAATGCAAAACATTCCTCTGCATAAGTAATATGGTATAGTGGTTAGCGTCACTGACTGCCGTGTCGAAGGGCCCGGGTTGGAATCCCAGAGAAGGCATGGATGTTTGTAAATGTCTAGTGTCAGTGTGGCATGGCGACACTCGAAATATGCAGCAAGCCAAAAGTCCTTTCGTATGGTTTGGTAGAAGGGGAGAGTAGTGGGAGACCCTCGGACCCATCCCCCCAGGGTGCTCTCCATCAAAATTGGGGATGGAACTTAGCTAAATCGCACTGTCACCTGAATGGTGCTCAAGGCTGTTGCCAATGGCAGGCATAATCTAGCGCTCCTTGCGACGAGAAATTTCATGGGCCTGGGCTGACTACGTCAGGCAAATGAGCATAAGCAACAATAATACAAGAGTAATACACTGCAATTACAAAGTGAATAAATAAACTTTATGCACTGGCGTGAGCAGCTATGAGTTGCAAAAAATTAAAACAATAAATTACAGAAATGTTTTAATTGTACATACAAGTCATTTTTAAAATAAACTTTATAAATACTCTCAGAAATTTAATACTCAGAAAGAAATTTTCATAGACAACAACCGAAAATTTCCTACCTTGAAATTGACAACTATGTCCCACTAGACATGTTTGAGGTATATCCAAGACATGGATATCAGATGAAGAGTAAGCTTTTGCTGTAAAAGGACTTCCAGGTAAATGATGGCCATCAACAATGACATGTATCGAGTAACTTCCTGAAATATCGCATTAAATAATAGTTAGAATTAAGATAAAATGGTCATGATAATTAAACATGCATGAAATTTTTAATGTAATGTCAGAAAAAAATACAAAATTAGAAACTGGATTAATGACATCTAACAAATAGGTATTTCCCAAATTCCAAGAATACCCACTTAACTGAATTTTTCCTTTGCAGTTGAGTTGCCCTGGACTTCTGTTAGTAACAACGGTAATGGGTTGGCACTTTCTCAGTGTTGGTTAAGAAATACTTGTGTGAAGAGATTTCTCAAGAATCCTTTTTAGTATATATGCATTAATATAGGATCAAATTCTAATTTTTATTAACATAATTGCATACTTTTAGCTATTTTCTTAGAGTGAACTGAAAGTTGCAGAAAAATGAATCAAAGGCTACATATGGCCTGTCAGTCATGTGTTTGACGTGCCTGCTCTAGGGCAACTGCTATTTTATATCACTGTTAATGAAATCATCATCTTCACTTGTTTCTTCTTCTGTGGGCATAATAATCAATTATTGTGACTTATTCTTTTTCTGAATCTTATTGATCAGTTAACTGAAGTTCCCTGATTGAAACAAAACTTTCCTGCAATAGCTGCATCTTGATTTGAGCAATGAAATTATCCCCAGAATGAAGAATGAGGAGCATCCAGATGCAAAACAATAGTTTTCTTAAGATTACAGAAAATTAATATAGTGCCCATAACAACATCAGTATTCACTAAATTCAGCTTCTAAAAGTTAGTTCTTGAATTACTAATCAAAGAAAAATGGATTATTTTCAGGGACAAGATAGTTTCAGTTGCACACACCAGGGTAAAGATCTTTGTGAGAAAGAATAATTTTATCCCATGAGGCAGATATCACTCAGATAAGATGAGATATTTTGCACATAATGCAGTGTATAAGTGCATAACTGGTATGCAAATTAGGCTCATTATGGTTCAAATCACCAAGACAGGAGATGTGACTAATATTGCCATCATCATAGAATGTAATTTTTTTTAGCTATCTTTTATTCTTGATCAAAGACTATGTAAAGAACATAGAATACTCTTTTAGTAGAATAAAGCCTATGTAAATAGGTGATTTATTAGTGTAAACACATAACACACTTGACAAAGCTGTTTTCATAGAGGGATTTCTAAAAGAAAATGGTTCATGTACACACTGCACATACAATTATCACATGCATATTAACTGCTGAAAATCCACCATGAATATTAAGCTTTTTAACCATGAATATTAAGCTTTCTTCATTTTTGAATTTTTAGATTTAGTTGAAGATTCTTGCTGTCCTAAAATAGCGCATATATTTGCTATATTTATTTATAAATTTTCTTCCATTAAAAATATCTCTTGCTAAACATCACACTATTAGTTTAACTCCCTTAATCGATGCAAAAAAACTTATGTCTGCTATCTAAAGAAGAGGCAAACTGAACACAAACTGGAGTTCATAAAACGACAGCTCCACCCCCAATCTTTCCAAAGGGAAAAAATAAAAAACAAATTTGAAGCATTGAAAACTGTTCAATGATTATATCATGTGAACTACATGTCAGCTGGGTTTTGTTTACTTTATATCATCTGCTCATACATCTAAACAAATCACCAGTATCAGAAAGTACTGACACAAGATCAACAATGTATATATTCAAATAGGCCAGAGGCATAGCTAGGATTCCAGCGCCCGGAGATACCTGAAGAATTTGCACCCTTTTCTGTGTTCCAAGAATGGAAAACATTTTATTAAAAAATTTCGTATCATCAATTTGGCACCGCCTCGGAACAAATGCCCCCCCCGGCCCCACCCTAGCTATGGCACTGAAATAGGCTTTCTGTAGCGGACATGGAATGCCATCTAGTGATTTAAATAAATTCTAAAATAATATGTATGTTTGAAAGTTCATATATGACACATCCATCTGGGAGATCAATGCAAACGGCGATGCACCAGTTTATCGCCCAGCTGCTAGTGACATTTGAGGCATATGCATATAGACACACCCATCTGCAGAGGGTTTTCAGTTCAGCAACATGCTGTCGTGAAGGGGATAAACAGTGATACAGAAACTGTGCTTTATAACATTAGGACATTCATAAGTTGCCAAAATAAGAGGTAACGATATTTTTAAATAAAAGCAGGGATTAAAAATGCTTTACTTTAATGTTAAAAAATATAATTTTAATACATTATAATTATTTTAAATCATATAATTATGCTAGTTTAACTGTTAAAAAAAGATCATGCAATTTGTGAACCTCTGAATCAAAAATCTGTATGTACACTAACTGATCTTAAAACAGCTACAATATTGATATGTGACCAAATTAAACAATGAACATTAAATGAATTCATATTCCAAAGAGAGATAAGCTGTTTCTGATGCAATAATGAGAATGCAAACAGTAACTCGAATGTCTGCCAACAGCGTGCAAATTGAATACATATTTGGTTAAAAATTGCCAAACTCACAAAATTTCTGGAATCTTTAAAAAGCTGAGACCTCATAAAAAATTAATTTCATGCATGTAATCATAAAACTAAAATACTTTTTGCAAAAACCAATGAAAACCTCAGTAGGCAGAATATACATCATTCCCGGTGCTTCTGGAGCCAAGGTAATTAAAACTCTTTAGATTTAAATTGTTCAACGCCAGTAAATATTTTCAGGTTATCCTTCTCTTTTTTTCAAATGTCCTCATGCCTTTTGTTGACATATCTGAGGAATCTCCGTATTCACCAATTACAATGGGGGGGGGAAGCCTGACCTTTAAGAAGTTCACACTTTGACCTTCTAAAAGGCCATGCTTTAATCACAACATGCCAAAGCATATAAGGTATTTCTCCCGACTTCTTAACATGCCTTCGGAGTGTAGTGGTCAACACACTCAGCATGTATTAAGGAGGCCCGTGGTTTGAGTCCCTGCAAAGGTGTTGCTCATTTTTTTATCTCTTCTGCTTCAAAATTACCTAATGTCTCTACGGTGGTGGCTGAACTAAAAGGTTGGTGGATGATGATTCTCCACTCCCAGGATTTGCCGATTGGACCCCCTAATCCCCAGTCGCCCTTTAAAAGGGAACGTATATAAGGTATTTCTCCCCCCTTCGTAGTATAGATGTCAGCATGCTTGGTGCATATTTGAGAGGCCCGTGGTTCGAGTTCCAGTGAAGGCGTTGCGCATTTTTCATCTCTCCTGCTTCAAAATTACCTATTGTCTCTACAAGCATGGTTACACCAGGTTGAAGCTCTAGGATTTTATATTTTAGTATAGAAACTTTTCTTCTTGATACTCCATTATGAGTCACATGGCTTGAATTTCACATTCATCTAAAAGTTAATTGACACTCAATTACAGTGATAGAGAAAATTTTTCAGATAAGCAAAATAAAGGATCTTTAAAAATTTGGGTCCTAAACTAAAAGTAAAAGGTCATTTTCTAAAATATTAACGCATAGCTGCTAGACTTAAAATACAAAAAACAGAAGGTTCTTGGATGAAAACTGGATGTGTCCAGGAGGTTTCCAGACAGTATGGTGATGGCATTCCAAAAGAATTCCAAACTGACTGAAACTCACTTTAAAATGATTGATTTAGGTTACTGAACTAGTTATAACATTTTGATGTAAAATATATATCTATTTAATCAGATATTATAACATTCTGATGTAAAATATATATCTACTTAATCAGATATTATAACATTCTGATGTAAAATATATATCTATTTAATCAGATATTATAACATTCTGATGTAAAATATATATCTATTTAATCAGATATTATAACATTCTGATGTAAAATATATATCTATTTAATCAGATATTATAACTTTTTTTTTTTTTTTTTTTTTTTTTTTGAGGAGGGGGGGGATTTTTGTTTTAGAATTTTCTTACACTTTTATACTGAAAACATCCTAAACAGGAAAGGAAAACTGCTTTTATACATGATGAAAATAAAATTAATATTTAACATACATACTATTGTGAGAATAAACATAGTATTGTACCATTTATAAAGCACAACAAAATTCAATACAAATATTAACTGATTAAGCGTTGATTAAATTCTGATAAAACAGGTCAGGTCAAATAAAATTATGTTAAACAAATTATGCTGAAAATCAGTGGGCAAATAGACTTTACACAATTTAACCGCCATGAATTCAATAAATTTCCTTTATTGCTGGGAGGCATTTTCTTTAGTAAAGCTAAAAACTAAAAATTAGGAGATTCACTAATGCGAGATGTGATGAAAACCAGGAGAGTTGGTATCCATATTAGGAGCTTTCAGGGATCATAGGAACACTGAAATACTGATGAAGTGAGTGGCATTGAAAGCAAATGATGAGATATATTTAATTGGAAGCATTATATGTGTATGCTTTTTCCTTGAAACAAGTAGCCACTGGTAATCAAAGACATTATTTCATTTGGAAAATGTTAAGTAACTGCAAGTTTGCTAAATGACCTAAGTTTGGGATACAAGAATGGGCCTTCACAACTGTGAAATCCTTTTAATAAAAATGGAACTAATCAAAGTTGTTGCTGCCTTTTCTTTAGCACTTAAGCATTAGCTGCAAAGTTGCACATCAGGTATGATCATACTTTTATCAAATGAAAATAATATTTTCCTTACTAAAATAGTTTGCTTAGACATTGAAATACATTACTACTTTTAAAGCTCTTCTTATCTGATCTCTACAGTAATGACAGTATAAATAAAGGGATCTTTCATGTAGAGTATTTCTGCTAGTGCTGATGCAACTACAGCATGTTTTCTAAATACATATTTTATTTTATTTTCTCTTCACAAGCATGTATTTGCAAATCATGTATTTGAGACATCAATTGTCCTTGAATATGGTGCTCTTTTTTTACCATTACACAAAAATTTGATCCCTCTTCTATTTCTGCACTATTTCAATATAATGTTTATAAATATGCTCAAATATGAGTACTTTTTAATGCTATTCCAGCTTCTTGTAACCTTAGATTTTCTACTAACTTTAAAAGAGCCATGTGAAAGGGTGTCCTTCGAAACCATCATGGAAAAAACGACAGAAAGTGAAAACGATGCGGTACAAAACATCGTGGGAGAAAAGAAGAAAAAGAGAAAACATCGCAGTTCTAAAACATTGTGGGACAAAATACCGTCAAAAATAAAGCAATTCAAGAACTTAGCAGTTTAAAAACATCATCAGCGAAAATATCATGGTAAAAAATAAAGCATCCGCAAAATCATCGCAGACACGTGTTTTTCAGGTTTTGAAAGTTGTAAATGCATATTTGCATAATGATTTGGGAGTGCAAGAAGGAAAGAGGGATATTTTTACTGCTATATTTCATATTTTCGAATTAACAGCTAAACCTTTGCTGAAGAAGTAAGATGGAAACTTAAGCATTTAAAAACTGAAAATGAGTAGAACATTGATGCAACTTATAGCACTTAATAGAATTTTAAACTTACATAGTTAACTGCTGAAGGTCATTAATAAATTAATCTTTTTTAGTGGCAATTTTCATGAAACATACAGTATAAAAACAATTAGAAAAAGAAAGATAAACAACTGTATGAAGTTAACTTTATAAAAATTGCTTAGTTATCAAGTTATTTCTTTTACATTTATTAACCTCTTAACTGCCGCGGAAAATGTATAAGATTCATTTCCCAGTGCCACCATTTTTCACACAGGCACGCGTAGTTATGCGATGTATTAGGGGGAGGAAATAAGTGCAAGTTTTACTTTCTAAAAACTGTTTACTTTCACAAAATAAAGAATAAAAGAAAAAATGAATGCACAAAATTTAATGCTTTGAATAAAAGTATAATAAAAAGATGTAAGTATAATAAAAATGATGTTTTTATAATAAAAAAGATCCCTAAAATGGAGTTTCAATCAATTCATTTCTAGACTAGTAAAGTGTAATATCAGGTTTCAGTGTTATACCTTGTGAAATCACTATGCCTAAAAAAACATATATTTCTTCTGAACTGGTTGAATGCCACTATTTTGGTCTTGATTTTTCGTTTGCAAGGTGTTGGTTCATATACTCGTCTACAAAATGGTTAGTTTCACTAACAATAGGAAGCATGAACAGTTCATCAAAAAATAATTCAAAAAAGATAAATGAGTTTGAAATATCTGTTATATCTTTTATTCCTGGAACCTACTAGAAAAATTAAACGAAAATGGAGGACACAGAATAAAAAAAAAATACGTTTTACTCAAACAACACCGTGCAGTCATTACTTTCACCACTTTAGACACCCCCCTCTTTCCAATTTCTTCCCACACTTCTCTGAAATAGTATCCTCCTTCACATACTTTGTGAAGGTCATTGTAGTGTTGCATTCCAAAGCTTTGCGAATAATTTTATGGGTAGCAGCAAATGATAGTCTTTTTGGAAGGGCGTATATATACGCCCATGGTAGTTAACATATCGGCTGAGCAAGGTGTATATATACGCCCGCGGCAGTGAAGGGGTTAATCTGATATTCTTTTAGTAAAAATTATACATTGTTCGGCCATTTATTCTTAATGTGTCATTAACATTTTCATGTACAGCGTTCAATCAATTATTTGAATGTTGATTTGTTAGTTATGACAAAAGTCAGCTACACAATATTTTAGAACAGGATTTAGATTTACTGGATTATGCCAAAACACACTAGGGCTGTTGCTTAAATCTTTGTACTTTGTATCTGCCTCTGTACAATATGTTATCAACAGCTGCACATATCCATATTGTACATTAGGAAAATCACGAAAATCTCATGCAACTAGCTCATTCATGGGTTGAATGAAATACCAGTGTTCAACGACTTTACAGTTCGGGCACTGGTGGGCAGTTCAGCAGAGGAATATTAATGTAAACTATTTCATTTCTACATCGGTCATTGGAAGATTTAAAATTATACCCAGAAAATTTAAATGCAAACTTTAATTACATAAGATGACCACATCTGCATAAGATTAGAAAGATATGGAATCTTAAGTGGTCACTATAGAAGGGATTTGCCAATTATTCCTTTTTACCGTTCATTAAAGAATCAATCATATATTTCAAAAAAAAAAAAAGTTTTCAAAGCTGTAGATGTTAGATGTACCATCATTCATTCTTTAAGGGGCTGTGTGATGTACAGGTAACAGACACTGTGAATGAGAGAGAGAGATAAAGAAAGACAGTCATGCAGGTGTTTGTGAGGGAATTGGTAGCAAGAGGTTATCTCTGAAACAGAAGTAAAAAAAACGGATTTATACACCACAGTACTTTCAATCATCACACCAATTTCATTTATTGTACAACACTTATTGTTTTAAACTTCTTCATATTTACATGTACATTTTATTATTTACATAAACTAAAGTTTTATTATTTAAATACATTAAATCAAAATGCAAATTTGTATAATTTTTGTGTATAAAGACTGGATATTTAATTTTTTAAATTGTTTTAAAAGACAAACACTGTAAATTTCTCTTAACAGTCTAAAGTAGTACATAGAAAATAAATTTCACAGAACACAATTCTGAAAATACATTGCTTGAAATTCAAAATAAAAAAATATTTTGGAAATCATGTTTCTCAGATTCAAAATATTTTTCATTCTCAGAGACAAAATTTGAATCGATGTTTTTATCATACGTGTGACAGGGGAGTTTCACCTTCTTGATTGAATACAGTGTCTTTATCATCATCAGAATTATGACTTCCTTTATTTATACGCATTTGAGAAATATTAAAAAACTACAATACTGATGCTTAAAAATGTGTAGAATCTCCAGTGTGTAAGTGGTTATTCAATGCAATAAAGAATAATGCAATTTTATTACATCTTGTTTAGTACCACTTAAATACACAACATTCTGGACAAAAACTGCATTAAAAATGCCAGGTGCCTGAAATTATGCCGTCCTCCAAATTTTTATCTGATTTTAATTTATTAATATATTATTATGTCACAGTTGGAAAATTTGGATATTTAAACAAAGTTGTAAACCAGACTTTTTAAAATGACAATATTTCTCCTCTGGGTAGAGTTTGATTTATGCAGCTGACATCAGGCATTAAAGAAGCAGCAACAGGCCTTTTAGTTTTCAGGTTAGTACTGGCAATAGTTTTACAATATTATATGATGAGATATAATTAACATAAACGCATTACATGAACATAGAATTCCTTCCTCAAATACAATTAGGCTGAATTCTCAATTATTTGTGTGTGAAACGTCTACTTTGCAAATCATTTGTTCATTGTCCCTCAAACAGCTCTCATTATTAACAAAGGCCAAAAGTTTATGATCTTTAGATGAAACTCATATATTTGATGCAATAAATTGTAACCTGAAATATGGTTAAAAGATTATAATTCATGGCTAAAAAAAAAAACTGAATCCTGAGAAAACAGTATCAGGCATCTTTGAAATTACTTCTGGTGCTGATGGTTCAAAAATATAAATAAAAAACACAGAAGTGGGGACAGAGAAAAGAGGAAAAATAAGTGTAGAGGTTTATTTCAGACCCCAAGACAGCTTATGAACTTTATATCATAAATATAACACAGATTTTTGTTGTTTGACTTCTAAATTAAAGCATCTACCTATCTACATGTAAAATAATTTTTCACCCTAAACCAACTACTGGTCACTTCCATAGAATGTTGCTATGAAACTATTCATGATGTGTAATTCAACTTTTTTCACATAAAAGAATAAAAAAAATTAAAAGTGTACTAAAAGAATGAAATATACTTAAATGGGAAGGCTAAAGTTCAGTGAACCCTCTCTAAGGCGACCATTTACTGTTCAAAACAATTTACCCTTCTATGAAGCTGGTCTTCTTAGAAAGATGAGATTTAATACCAAAGTTTCATATCTATATTGGTCACTTATAGAGGTGTTCATCTTAAGAAGATGGTTCACTGTACGATATAAAAGTTCAGTCAATAACTAAAAAGATTTTTGAATAAAATATATCCGCAAAATTAAATAATACTTTTAAAGTGCTTATAAGAAATGTCTAAATATAAAGTTAATTATAAAGAATGCTCTTTAAGGTGATCACTCAAGATTCCATATCTTCTTAATCTTGCGTGGATATGGTCATCTTGCATAATGATTAAAAGGTACGTTTATTTTTGTTCTCAGAAACAGTGGTTGTCTTAGAGATGTACAATGATTTAGAGAGGGGTTCACTGAAATTCTATATTATTTTTTTAAAAAATTAGCCACCAGTGCTCGAATGGTAAAGTCGCTGAACACTGGTATTTAAGCCCACAAACAAGCTGGTTGCACGAAATTTTCGTGATTTTCCTAATACATAACATAGATATGTGCCAGTTGCTGAGAAAGTATTCTACAAAGCAAAGAGCCCTAGTGTGCTTTGGCATAATCCGACAAATCCAAATCCTCTACTGAAATATTATATAGCTGACTTAACGTCATCAAATTAACAGTATGTTTCCAAAAATTGTATGGAATAAGGAGGCTATATGCTTAATCCTTAAACTACACATGTTCAAAACCATAATAGTATATAAAAATGCATATGTTATATGGCGACAGTATATATTGCGTGGAATTAATTTAAGTAAGTTTATTAAATACAACTTTATGATAATGCATATACTTTTCAGAAAAGCAATTTAATTATTTGCAGAACGTACCATTTTGCTTTAGTTTAAAAACATATACGATTGAACTCATATTTAAAGACAAAGAGCATACATTAAAAATAATAAGTATGAAATGAAAATTTTATGTTAATGAAATAATACTACTCAATTTAAGATGAAACTTTGTGCCTGGTTCAACAACATTTCATCAAATATTAAAATATAAAATAAAATACTGAATAAATATAATGAGCTAATACTGAATTATATGTTACTTTAGAAAGCAAATTTCTTACCAACTTCAAAAACAAAAAATTCTACTTGGTATATTCCACTGCCTATTTCTATTATTTTTGATGGAATTGCAATCACTGCTGGACCTTCATTTCAAAAATAAAATACATAATTACTAATATATACACATGTCACTAAACCAATACAACAGTAATTCACTTTAATAGTGATACAAATAGCAATAGTAATATATATATATATAGAGAGAGAGAGAGAGAGACCAAAAATTAAACAAAAATTTCCTAAAATGTTTGTTTTCCTTTGAACTTAATTTGAATTTCTTTAAAATGCAATGAAAAAAAAATTTAAACAAAATGCTTCCTGATTTGCAGTGAGATTCCATCTTAGTGATCACAGTCAATGTAAAATTGTACTTACCAATGTGAAAGTCATAATAATAAAAATATCAAATCGGATGAAGTAAGCTTATAATATACACACACACATCTCGCATATAGATATATATACATTGCACTATAGCAAAATATATATATATATACATATACAGTGAAAATCATTTAACAAGAAACTGAGGGGACTGAAATGTTTTTTCGTGTTAAAGGATACTGAAAAAGAAAAAAAAAAAAACCATACAAAATTAAGTTTATTAAGAGAACATTTTATTTATATAGCTATGTATGTATGCATGTATTTGATAAAAATCAATGAAACAAAGATATCCACAAGAACTTGATGAAAATTAATACAAAATTTTCAAGTTTTTGGAAAAACAAAACATTTATTGAGTTTTTGAAACAATGATATTTTTCTTTGCATTGTCTTTTTTAGCATCAAATTGTTAACAAATTGTTCAGTGTCCTCTGCTTTGTTATTCATTTCAGCCTTGGAATGTGTATCTAAATAACTTCGCATACTTTCGTGACGTTCTTAATTTTGGATGACCTGGGAACAGGAGCTGCATTATTCATTTCATTTTCGTCGTCAGAATCTGCATCAATGATATTTTTTTACCTTTGAACAAACTCCAAAATGTCTTTGTCTGTGATAATTGGGGCTGTAAACACATTATCACCACCTACTGCAACGAATTCTTCCAATAATACAGTAGGACAGTCGAATAATACAGAAACTTTCTCAATCATTTCATTAAGTGTCGACTCAGTTTCAATATCCTCCATTTCTTGGTGCCAAAGAATCTGATACTTTTGAGAATCGTGCATGACGAAAACAATTTTCATTCACCCTTGGAGTCGCTGAATTCCATGCAGAGTGCAACATATGAACCAAACTCACAGACTTTACTCAGACTGGGATGTACTCGTCATCGAATTTCAAAGCCAACTGATGAGAGACGAGATGTTTGTAGGGGTGGAAGGTGAAAGTGGCTGAGACATACAAAACTGGCTAGTGTCGAAGGCTATTCCAAGGGTATTTCAAAGCCAAGTTAGCCTCCTTTCTACAAAACATGTGAAACCACCTTTCTTTCATTTCACAGCCCTCTTACATCTCGCCTGCGAGGCCAGTGTTTTCCGTATTTTGTTCATTTTCAGAAAGGATAACTTTTCGTGTTAAGCGATTTTTGTTTTGTTTTAAGAGAAACAAAATGCATAAAAATATATAGTAGTTTGTCAGGACCGCTGTATTATTTCGTGTTAACCGATATTTCGTCTTAAGCATTTTTATGTTAAATGTATTCAAGTTAATCATGTTTCACTGTGTATATATATATATATAGTAATTAAATTATATAAAGTACTAAAATTATAACTTTCCAAAGTATTACAAAAATGCAAAGGAAACAGTTGAGAACCAGTAAGAACAGTGTTGCAACTTAAGCCAAAGTGAGGCCAAAGCATTAGAACATGCAGACTGAAATATTTTTGCTCTTATGAACGGGATGGACAAAAATAATTTTGTCCATCTCCCTCATGATGGCAAAAATATTTCAATCTGACTGTTCTAATGATTTTGCTATTTGCCTTCTTCATGTTTGCTTAAGTTATAAAATTGTTCTTATTGACTCTCAACATTTTCTTTTGCTTTTTTGTAATACTTTGGAAGGTTATAATTTTAGCATTTAATATAATTTAATTACAATATACTTTGGAAAAAAGTAATTATACTTTTGGTTTAGACAGTGTTATATTTTTCAGATTTTTTTTCATTCCTTTTCTCATATATATATATACGTATATATATACTTTAAAATATTTAATTATGTTTATATGTGATATGCAAACCAAAGAGGAATTGTAAAAATTCCAAATTTTAGGGGAAATTGAATTTTCATGAAACATATACATCCCCCCCCCTTGGTAAACCAAAAAAAAAACTTACACTCTAATATTTATATGAAATTAAAAGTTCAAAAATATTTCAATTTTAAATGCTGATTTTTTACTTCTGTATTTTTTTACATATGGAGGAAGAAATTTTGAAATTTCTGTGAATATTATATACACTGGTTATCATAAATTAAGGAAAAATCACAAAAATCATGATTACTGAAAAGAGTTTATGAAACTTACCCACAATATACAACACATAGTAAAGTATCAAATAACATACAAATAAATTACCAAACAATTATGGTACTATAGAAATTAGCACATGTATAAAATGAACAAATTGAAGGTGTCAATTTGCTATAGGATAAGTACCTTCAATAGGGAATATGGTTGCCTCTAGAAGCAATACAGTACATACAGTGATGTGTGATGCTTTCAATTATGTGGTCTATCAGTTCCATAGGAAGCGAGAGCCATTGCTCTTGCAAAGCTGTTGCAAGTGCGGCAAGGGTTTGAGGGGGCAGACTGAGAGCAGCTAGACATCTTTCTAAGTCATCCCAAACATGCTCGATAGGATTCAAGTCCGGGGATCGAGCTGGCCACTCCATGCGCATAATTGTTTCCTGTTGAAAATAATCATCTACGATGCAAGCCCTGTGCGGTCTTGAGTTGTCATCCTGTAACGGGAAAGTATCACCTATTGCCCCACACATGGGCGCACATAAGCATCAAGGATGTCATATAAACCGGAGCATTCACGGTTTCCGTCGGAAAGACATGGAGGTCTGTGCGTCCACCCAAAGAGATGCCACCCCAAACACAGACACTGCCTCTTCTGTATGCCTCTCTTTAACGGATGTTTGATGGATGATAACGGGTTCCAGGTTCTCTCCATATCAACTAACGCCTACTATCGCTTTCTACACCGTCGGAAAGACATGGAGGTCTGTGTGTCCACCCAAAGAGATGCCACCCCAAACACAGATACTGCCTCTTTTGTATGCCTCTCTTTAACGGATGTTTGACGGATGATAACGGGTTCCAGGTTCTCTCCATATCAACTAACGCCTACTATCACTTTCTACACTAAACCTGGACTCATCCGTAAAGAGAACAGCCCTTCACCGATCAAGCTTCCAGTGGACATGTTGTCGTGTCTACTGAAAACGGTCCCTATTATGGCGTGACGTGAGCGGCACGCAATTGGCTGGTCGTCTCGCATACAGACCAACTTCGTGAAGCCTTCTATGCACAGTTGACGTTGACACCAACCCTCCGGTGAAATCGCTTCTAAAGTCTATGAACCACAGAAGGACTCACATTTAGCCACCTGGCCACTTTCTGTTTGACTTTTCCTGCCTCTAGTCTCCCAATGGCTCTCCATCGCAGTTCTGGAGGCAAATGATGCCTGGAAGTCATTGTTACGAATTGGCTCTCTCAGATTTCTGATGTCACTATCTCAGTAAAATATGTGGGCTTGCTCTCAAACATGGACTTTTATTCTCCTCGAAGATGACGTATTCTGAGTGCAGCACCACTAATTTGCATATTGCAATTTTACTCAGCTACTCTTACTTGGCAACATCTTCAAATTTTACACGGTTTGGCTTATTTTTAGGTAGTTATCGCTATTTTTGTGATTTTTCTTTAATTTATGATAACTAGTGTATATCATATAAAATACAGTACAGTCAAAAGTCGTTAATTCGGACACCCATAATCCGGAATATCTATAATCCGGGCCTCAAAGCTACAAACTTTCTGCTCATGCGTCGCGTTGACGCATGCGCGTAAGACCTTTACGACTGCGAATATGCGTGTGCGCATGCGCATAATACGTTTATGCTTGCACGTTTAATGTATAACGGATGGTATAAGCTAAGCTAAAAGTATCTAATTCAGTTAATGTTGCAGATTGCGTTGTTCCTTAATCCTTGAATTGGACCTGGCTTATTATTTTTTTGCAGACTGTTAGAGCAATTTTATAAAAGTAAGCTTGAACTTTTGATTATGTCAAACAGAATTCCCGATATATATTTACTAACATGTAAAGGATCTACAAAGCGAAAGTATGTTTCGAAGTCCATTAAACAAAGAGTGGAATTGCTGCAAAAAATGGATAAAGGCATAATCCTTCGTTTCTCTAACCATTCCGAAATCTGTTTATCAATTTCACGCTGCTCTGTGGCGGGGGGGGGGGGGGGGGTTGCGGCGCGCAATTAACTGGAAGTTGATCTGTCAGCACTATCCTTATCTTCAGGGCAGATGTTTTCATTTTATTTGGCTTATAATTCTTTACTAAATGTAGTATTTCATCTCGATGTACTCCGTCTTTGATATGATTTAAATCAAATTCCTCGTCAGTATAATTCGCTTCTGATAAAGAAGAACGTGACACAGAGGTTATTGAAAACGAAAAAATTTCGATTGACAAATTAGTCGGTATTCTCGACACAGCAATTATCGGTCTTGAACAGCGGAACTTTGTAACTGAAGAAGAAATTATGTCTGCTTATAGAATTAAAGAGAAAGTATTATGACATAAAACGAAGCTACTTAAACAACTTACATTGAAAGAAATGTTTAATAAAGTAAACAAATAAATATTAAGCTTTTTTTTTTTTTTTTTTTTTTTTTTTTTTTTTTGTTTTTTTGTAAATTTTGATACCTCTTAGATCATGATTGTTCTTTATTTCATAAATTACGGTTTCATATTTTTAATTTTATAATTTCTGCATGCCATCTTACCAGATTTAAACTGATGATCTATAATCCGGAAAAATCGATAATCCGTAATCGCCGAAGTCCCGACGAGTCCGGATTAATGACTTTTGACTGTATAAGAAATATAATATTTAATAAGGATTATAAATTGCTTTTTTAAATTGTTTTTAACTGCTTCAGTACAGTAAGGAATATATACTACAGTATAAAGAAAAAAGTCCTATAAAATAAATATAAGGGGGAAAACACCCTAAATTTTTATATACCTTAAAAATGAATAATTTTAATGCATAAATTTTGTATGCAAAAAGTGCGCTATAAAAAAGTAAAACATAGGAACATATGAAAGTGCAACCAAAAACACATGAAGAAAAAACCACAGAAAATCTAGAATTGCTGAACTGTGATATATTCATCTTCAAATTATGATGTAAAAAGAATTCATTGCATTGAAAAAGGATGTTCAAGCACAAGTCTTATTGAAAACACAAAGGTATGCTTAGTTTTGGAATTTAAAAGACATCCAAGAAAAATATCCCACACCAACACTTTTCCTTCTTACCTAGAGAAAGTATATTTTAGCCAATGATTTACTTAACAAGACACCATTTGAATATTTCTGAATGAGAGATTTAAGAGTTAAGTAAAGTAGTTTTTTGCCAAATACTTAGTAGCTAAATACATATCCAGTGCAGCCATCACATTAAAATCAATCTTCTGTGCAATTAGAAGATTTTGTTTCTGAAAAAAGTTTTATATCTGCAAAATTAAAAATAATACAAAAACAGTAAACTATAAATCTAAAAAAATTTTTTTTTTTTTGTTCTTCAAACTTTTGCTCATATTCTCAATCTAATTCCTATCTTTAAGTCAGTTATATGCAATTATTTGTATTACATTGTATGTTGTACATAAAAGAGAGAAATTAAGGGGTCAATGAAGAAAACCATTCTTCTAAAAGGAATTGATGCAACAGCAAATGGTTGAGAATCCCTGGTGCAGAGAATAAATGAAAAATCATAGGATTTGACAACTGGAAACTTCCTTCTACTCTACTAATATACAGTCTTAATTTTCATATAATAAAAACTACGAGGGCCATCCAGGAAGTAGATTACGTTTCCGTCTGTGTCCGCTAGGGGCGGGGCTAGCGCGGCCATCTTGGGGTCAGAGCGTTGCGCAGCTCAGTCTGCATCTAGCCGTGCTAGTGAGAGGTTCGTGCTGTGCTCCGTTCAGATACTGTGACGGTTTGAAATGTCTGCGTTAATTGAAAATCCCGCGAGCTGCGAGGTGCGCTCAGTAATAAGGTTTCTGACTGCAAAAAACTGTAAACCGATAGAAATCTATCGGCAGCTTCGTGAAGTGTATGGGGACAACATTATCACTGAAGGTGGAGTGCGTCAGTGGGTCATAAGATTTCAAAATGGCCGAACCAATGTTCACGACGAAGATCGAAGTGGGAGACCCAGCATAGTGACCGCCGAACTTCTCGAAAAAGTCGATGCTAAAGTCCGTGAAAATCGAAATTTCACAATAACGGAACTTTCTTTGAGTTTTCCACAAATTTCGCGAAGTTTGTTGCACGAAATCATCAGCGAAAAGCTTGTTTACCACAAGTTTTTTGCAAGATGGATTCCAAAAATCTTGACAGAGGACCACAAAAATCAGCGAATGGCTGCAGCGTTGAACTTTTTGGACGCTTACCATAAGGATGGTGACTCTTTACTCGATCGCATCGTTACTGGTGACGAAACATGGGTGAAACATGTGAACTGTGAAACGAAATTGCAATCAATGCGTTTTGATGACGACGCACAGCTGCAAGAAGAGGTAACGAAGTGGTTGAAGGCGCAGGCGGCCGAATTTTTTGACGAAGGAATTTCCAAGCTCGTACATCGCTACGATAAATGCCTTAATTTGTATGGTGACTATGTAGAAAAGTAGTATTTGAGTGTGGCTTTCATCTGTATATAATAAAATTTGTTTCCTATACTTTGTTTATTTTTTTATTCCAAAACGTAATCTACTTTCTGGATAGCCCTCGTATAACATTTGATTCAGTTACTGATAAATGCTATAACTTACCATAAATATTAACTTTGATATCATCTTTGCTATACCCTACAGCAGTTATCTCAAATGATGTAGGATGTCTTATTCTGAAAGATTTGAAGCATTCTCCTCTCACAGACAGATTCTTTCCCATTTCACTCACTTCACATTTCCAGGGAGAACCTTTATCAAATACACAGAAACCAATTTTATCAGCAGTATTACACTAGATCAGCCTGCATGCTGAACTCATATTGAAAGATGAAAAAAATTACAGTGGTTATGATGGTTCTAAATATATTAAAATATAGAATTCCAAATTTTTTGAAGGCAAAGTATTTTTACGGCAAAGAGCATGATGCTTTAAAATAATACTAATTTATCATTGACAGTTATGTAAGAAGGCTGCAGAAGTAAAAATATCAAAATAATTATACAGAAGCTAAACTCATGCCGACATTTTTTTGTCGAAACTAAAAGGTAAAATTAATCAAAGTATAATCGAATTCAAAAACAAATACATTTCTTACAGCAAAATATTTTTTCAAAACAAATATAGTTAATAAATTTTAAAAGTATTTTAGCAGATTCAATTGTCTCTTTGTATTAAGCTATAAACAGTTATGATGGTATAATGGTTAGGAAAGCCTGACTGTGATACCAAAGAGCCCAGGTTCGAATCCCGAAGAAGGCATGGATGTAAAATTGTCTGTCCCTTCATAGGAGGTAACAGTGGCCGCCTATTAGGTGCCTCCACAATAAAATGGTTACCACTTCTGGCCTTAGTAGCGGTCAATGCCATTATAGGCAAGTGTCCACCATTTGTAAAAAAATAAATAAATAAAATAAACAGTTATGAGATAAATAGAAATTACTTAAACTAAAGGGAAAAATTTGCAATTCCACTATAATCAAAACATAATAGCAACTATACCTATAAAGTCATATTTTTTGCTCTACATTAAGTTTTCTAATAAACAGTAATGCTGCAAATCAAACTCTATGATCAAAACACAATAACACGCCGAACAAATACTAATTCAGATGTCAAACAACAAAAATCAGCATTGAATCACTGCAGTATTATTTAACACTACGTCTGTGAAAATTTGAAAATATAACACTGATTTTTTTTTGTTTGACTTCTGAATTAGTAGACTCTATGATATTTTTAAATAAACAAAAATGTCTTCAGAGACAAAGCTGATGAGAAGATTGATTTCAAATTAACAAAATCATGAGAAAGCCACTCAATGAGTTTTGAGTACTTCATCCAGTCATTCACTTCTATGAATAAAGAATGATAATGAAAACACAAAGTGGGGAAGGGGGATAATCACAGCAGTATTATTAAACACTATGTGTAAAGCAACATTGAAAAATAAGCATCTAAAAATATTTATAGATTTTTATTTTGAATATTGAAAATGATCTTGTTTGCATCTTATTTTTCATTTTTGAGTGTGCTCCTTTTAATCAAAGATGTTTGAATTAATTGTATTATTTGTGAGGTGTCCTTTTTTAACTTACGTTTTTGTAAGCCTCGTGTAATACTTTGCGGTGCATGAGGAATAAAAAAATATATTAAATATATTTTTTTAAATATATTTTTTCTCACGCACTTATATTTTTTATATTTTATTTTATTAATTTTTTTTACTTAAAAAACATACATACATTTTAAGAAATATATTAGCATGAAACTAAGAATTTTAATAATATTCCAATTATTCTGTATGTGAAGTTGAGTTGCATTGAAAAAGCAAATTTTTGTTGCCTGGAAAATACAATAATTACAATCAAGACAATGTGCCTGGAAAATACAATGATAACTACAAGCAAGATAATGTCATTAATAAAAAAGCACATTGAATAAATCATCTAAAGCATTCTGTTTTTACTTTTAGCTTACCAGGCACATGATGGCCATTGAACTTCATTTCAATTGTGTGGGTTGTTGCAGTATGAGGAATGAAAGAAGCCAGAAAGCAGTAATTTCCCAAACTTTGAACATTGCTTGTCACATGACCACCATTTACCAAAATTTCTAGATTGCCTGATCCAGCCTCAGCCCCATTAACTAAAAGAAAGAAGTAAAACACTAAATTGCAAAAAACTTCACTTCAAAAGTGTCCATAAATATTTTGCCAATAACACATGAACAACCTCATATTCTATAACTAATCTACATATATAAACTTCACTTCAAAAGTGCTCATAAATATTTTGCCAATAACACATGAATAACCTCATATTCTATAACTAATCTATATATATGTATATATTATATATATAGTAGTATAAATTTAAAAACATAATTATTCCAAGTATTTCCATGCAATATGCTGCTGAAAATTGATCAGTATAGATAAAAATTAGGTTTTAGTTTCACATTTCTTTAATTCTTATTTTGCATATTTATAGGGTATTTTGAAATTTATTGGTATTGAATTTCACTTCTTCCGGGTCTTTGTATAAAATTGGTTCTAAATTTCTTTACTCTCTCTCTCGATATATATAATTTTCCTTTTAATATTAGATATACTTATAAATGAAAATATTTTACTTTTGCTCAATATGCAAATATCAACAAATTTTTAAATCATTTTATAGCAAATGTTCAGATATACTATTAATTTTTATGCTTTACTAGCTTAATGATGCACATAATACACAGGATGTGCTTATGTTAAGTGTGCATTATCTTAACATCAGATACATGTAAGTATATTACATAATAACTGCTATGCAGCCAGCCTTCATCTGGCTTTTAAATGTACTGGGAAAATGCCTAATAGGAACATCAAACATTAAATTTAAAAACTGCACAGAATTTTACTCATCAGAACAACTTTATTTAAAAAAAAAAAAAAAAAAAACCACAAATTTCAATAAAAATGTATTACATATAAAAAATTTACAATGAAATAAGCAATAGGCCTTAATACAAATATTAATTATCCTAATAAATAAATTAACCAACTTCCCGTTGCCTTCTCTTAACAAATGTCCAGTATCCAAAAGAAACATTAAATTTAAAAACTGCACAGAATTATTGCCCTCATTTTTTTGAGTGGCAACAGTGCTGATATCAGCAACAATGGCAACAGTGATATATCAGCAACATCGGCTGTGTACCATTTATTGATTTGATGCAATTACATCAAAAAACATAAAACCAAAAAAAAAATCGAATTTTGAAAAAAAAAACTTGCTTTGAGGTGCACTCACTCTTATGTACCAAATTTCGTAGCCCTGGGTCTTAATTTACGCACAGCATGAACGAAAGACACACACACAGAGAGACAGGCTTTTCCTTTTATACATACAGATAGATAAATACACATGGGTTTTCCAAGAATAATTTATTAAATCAACGTATTTGTATCTTTGAATATACTGTTTATGAGTTATTAATGATAAATTTTCTATCCTGTTTTATTATTTAATGAAAATATTTGAATTTTTGGATATACTGTTTATGGAATTTTCATTATAAATTTCTAACCATTTTTCTGTAATTTTTAATAATGAATTTTCTAGAACTTAAAACAACTTTTAATTCAGTGTGATACCAGATCAATTTAACCTAACTACCACACACATACAGATATTTCTTATATTTAAGTGTCGCATAGATATTAATATAAAATCTCTTATAAACGGTGCACATCTAATGACATACACAAGTGTAATCTAATAACTGTAATAATATATATATATATATATAATTTTGATATCTATTTAATACTTAATTTCAACTGGATTTTGAAAACTGCACCAAAAATTAAGCAATCCAGGAAGATTTATGGAAATAGTTTTAACTTAATACAGGTGCATATCCTTATTCCATTGAATACAATAAAACATAAGAAATAAAGCCTCTTTAAATAGATTGAAAAATATATAAAATACAGTACACGAATGGTATGACTTTTATAACTGAAATAAATTTCTTAAGGGAGAGATTTCTCTCCCATAAAAATAAAGGAATATTTAAAATGATATTATGATTTTATGTTACCATTAAATTTGTTAATTTAAATACTGCATTAACTATCATCCCTACAATTCATTACATTTTATTTAAAGCAAGATACCTTAACCAGAAAAACTCATATGCAAAATACAGAAACATTTTAATCAGAAAGACTAGCAAAGCTCATTTCTCTCACCCCCAAAACACGCATACTTTACTATTCCATATGTATTCTTTGGGGAAAAACAAGGACATTGAAGCAAGGTGTTTTACTAATTGCTATTTACATAACGAAAGGTCATGAGCTAATTGAAAAATAATTGCACACTGTTGCTTTTTTGTAATATGCATATTTATTTTAGCAGTTGGTCTAGCCTGCATTAAACTTCAATAAAAAATTAGAATGCAGAACATATTTCTGACACAGAAATATTAGCTTAGACGTAATCAAAATGGAGCTTTTTAGAACAAAATGCAGTATTTATATAGCCATATTCAAACAGGGGAAAGGATATTCAATTTCTTAAAAAAAAATTATATTTCATTCCTTTAATTCCAGGCTTCTTCAAAGTTTCTCTTAGTTTCTGCTGCTATTTCATTACCTCCAGAATTATTTAAAAGTTCATCTCTCAAAAGGCAGCGTTAATTTTGAAAAGTTAGCTTCAAATTATCAACTGTAGAAATGCTTAAATTTGAAGTTTCGTACTTACTGAAATTCAGTTTTATACACCCCCTAAATCACCATTTTCTTTGAGGGAGAGGTAAAGTTAGTACAGTACAAAGTCTGATACTGGGACTCATCAGGAATTGAGGGGTTCCAAATTTTGAATTTTTCAGGATTTTATATTATGACTTTTAATCTAGTAACATAATATATTGTAAAACTAAAATATGAAACAATGAAGCATTTATGATTTTAAGAGAATCAAAATTAACAAACACTTGTTGTTTGTTTTATTAAACATTTCTTTCAATGTCAGCTGTTTAAGTTACATCACACAATTTCTTGTTGCGTTATAATTCCACTGTTAAAGTTCCGTAATTGCTCAGTTCAGAATTTCCCCTTAATGCTAAATTGAAATGTTTCCATTCTCAGCAACTTATCACTTTCTTTATTATTGATATTGATGTGTTTTGCATTTAGAACCATACTACAGATTTCGTATACTGTTTTGTTTTAGAATAGCTTAATGCTTAGCTAGCATCTTCTACACAATACTGGTGATGTATCAAGAGACTGGTGACTAGACATGTTGTTCTGCTAAATTTTGTCTTGGTTGTATTGCATGCTGCAAGTTAAGCCTGAATTATATTAATTTAGTTATTTATTGTGTCTATTTTGCGCATATACTTAAAGTTTATCCTTAAGCAAACATTGCTTAAGTTATTTTGCACATTTAAGCAAACATTGCTTAAGTTATTTTGCACATTTAAGCAAACATTGCTTAAGGAGTCCCGAATAAGTAATTTCCACTTAAGGTTTACATAAATAGCAAAGCGGAATTCTGAATCAGAATATTCTGAATTCAAACAGCAATAAACGTAATCTTTTAGCCTACGAATATCACTTACAAAATATATTTTGTTGCATATGGAAAGAAATTTCTGTTAAATTTCTCCTGGTCGGCACACTCAACTCTTCGCAGTATAGTTAGCTAAAGTTAAATCATTACCAAGTATAATGTCAATTTTTTACTATGCTGATTAGTATTTATTTATTAATATTTTCTAAAAATTCTTTTAGTCTATTATGCTTGAGTCATTTCTCAAGCTGCCATGAATTGATAGCCATGTGGTGATAAAAGAAAAAAAAAAAAAAAAAGTGACTGCCAGGTTGGTGTCAGGGATTAAGTTCTTCAGCAGGTGTAAAATCAGTGATGAACTTTCATAACTGCTTCCCTCTGAGATATATGCGAAGCAAAAAGACAGCTACAAAATCAACAAGTTGTTGGTAGTATAGGTTAAACTTAATTAATGATTATGTCTCTTCAACATGGCGGTGTTTTATTTAGTATTAAATTGAAATTAAGAATCAAGCCCTTTCACATGCTTTATTATGAAAAAGTGTCTATTGTCTACATGTGAAACATATGAAGCACAGATTTTAATAAACTCCAATGTAATTTTACTAGCATCTGAAAAAATTCATGCTTCTGAATGCTCAAGCAAAAACTCATGTGAATAACAATTTTCTTAATTTTAAAGGAAAAGTTACAATATGTATGACAAAGTAATAAAAGCTGACGAATATAAAATAGTAGATATCTGAAGCTCAGGCAATTTTACTACAAGCACTGGAACACTACAACATTTCTGAACATTTATTTTTTTGCAGCAGAATTTAAAATGCAGATATATAATAATGACCACATATTAGGATCAAAATGAGGTTTTTGTATTATAACCTTAATCGACAACATCTTTATAGCATTTGTGATAAATGCACACAATTTATGTCAGCACTAAAAAAGTAATGAGTGGATCTTGGAAGATATTAAAACAAATTAATGCTTACTTACTTTCAAATTCAACAGGTTTACCAACTGTTCCATTTGGGATTTTTCCAACTTTTATTTGTGAAGCATCATAAGCAAAACAGTGAAATGGACTACCAATAAGTTGTTTCCCTGCTATGTTAACTTCAATGGAATGTTCTCCAACTTCTGGTGTTATGTATTCAACTTGATACTTTCCATGACTAACAAATTCCAGTCTAAAAGGTATTTCTCTGCCTGATGGTGCTGCAACAGTTTAAAATGTACAAATTAGCTTAAAATTTACCAGTATATCTATATTGTAAGCATATAGACATAAATATTATTAGAAATCAATCAAAATCTTTATATCTCTTCCTCCTTGTAAATAATATTAATAACATGATAAGGCTATATTTAAGACCAAAGCCATTCACAAAAATACATTTAAGCTGTTGCAGATATTTTTATTTCAAAAAAAGAAAATTGCTTCCTAAGAATAGTATATTTTCTACAACTAACATAATCGACTTAAAACTATTTTACTAAAATATTATAACAATGAACACTGTTTACTTCCTGTGAATATATATATAAAAAAAAATTTATAAATAGGAACATAAAATTTAGAAAATGTAAAAAAACATTTTCTAATCATAATAACACCTCAAAAATATAAGCAAAATTTACTAGGAAGTGGATTTTGCTACATTTAAAATGTCACGTCATTATCTGCTTTGCATGCTTGTTTAATGATATGAAGTATCTATAATATACTTCTAAACTACCTTAAAATTCTTACACCTCTTCATTTTGGAAGAAATAATTCACATGAAATTATTTTAGCTTACTATTACATAAAAAATGCCCATGAAATGACATTATTCAGCAAATACTGACCCAAGTTAATAGTTTATTTTTTTAAGAACTAGAAACTTATTAGGAATGCCTTCCAATGATACAATGATCCAACTTGCTAGAACTAAAAATGTGTATATAGACATATCTCTATTTCTGAATTTATTGAAAAGCAAGTTAACATAGCAAAATATTGAGAATTATTTGCCATGGGAGAGATGTCTTTAAGGATGACATTCTAAGGGAAATGGCTCACATTTAAGATTTACAGGAGGAAAACTATGAAACCATGCAATTAGACCGTTTCACTGCTATGAATCAAATGCACAATTACAAGTGTTCAATGGTTTTATTCTCTCACAAACTGATGAATAGAACATATAATGTTGTGGTAATTTGTAAACCTGAACCAAATTTGATGCTAAAAAATATTCATAACTGATACTAACCTGTAACTGTAACTTGAATATCATCTTGTTTCAACCATGGAGCATGCAGTACAAATGTAGCAGGTTGCTTTACAGGAACAAGTTTCAGACCTTCCCCTTCAGCTTTCACTTGTGTAATATCTATCACTTCTTTTTTATATTTTGTAGAAGATGGAATACATGAATACTCATTTAAAGCATGTTTTATATTAGGATTTAATAACACTCCATCATTTTCCCGAGCATCTTTTACCTTTTTTAGAAAAACTTTTGGCTTAACACCTTGGCCTTCAACATTTTCTGAAAATATTTTCTGAAGTCCAGTATGCTGACTTGTGTACTGAGTTAAAATATGCTGCTCAGTTAAAAACTGTGAATTTTCATTCATAATTTTTGATGACTGCTTCTGAGACTCAATAGATTTTTCAGCTTCTTTAGAAGTCAAACTATTTATGCCATTGTCATATGAAACAGGCTTTTTGGGAGTAGGGGGTGCAGGAGCTTTAGACCGTTTAGAGTCATCTTTATGAGCCATTAGTTTGCTATTCACTAATTCAGCTCTTTGTAAGAAGCTTAAGTTTTCTTGATTTAAATTTGCATTATTCATAGCTTTAATATGTGTAAATTTTTCTGTATTTACTGACTGATAAACATTTTCTTTACTTGAATAAATGCTGCCATTGCTCTGTTTATTTATAGCTTCAGAGACTTTTGAGTGAGTATGATTTTCAAATACTTTTGTAGGAGTTATAGCAGGGCCATCCAAAGATATATGATTACGCTGAATTTCTTTGATGGGGATATGCCTTTCTTTTTTCATTTTATTTTCTTCAATACGACTTTCAATATCAGTCCCTTTTAAATCCTTGTCACTTTCTGCAACCTTGAAAGTAAATGGAGATCCTAAAATAAAATTGAACCAGTAATGTTTACTAATAGTAAAATGCTATGAAATCCATATTACTTACTACCAATATTAAACAATATTATTATCAAATCTTGCAAACATTATTAGAAGTCATAATGAAAGTGAATTTTAAAAAGTACAGGTTCTGCTTAGGGAGCATAAACTAGAAGTGGCTGTATTTATATTATTTATATCCATACTTTTTCTCAGAATCATAAATGATTAAGAAAGAAACATGCAATATGATTAGGCAACAATTTTCTATGAAAGGCAGTATCCGGGGGGGGGAGGGTGTCACACCTCAAATGTAATATTTGAAAACATTACAACAACTATAATTTCTCAGACAATAATTAGACAATGTAACAGTTTTTAATAAGGATATTTAAAAAACGCTGGAAGGAAATAGGAAAATTGACCAGAAATAGGAAAATTTAACTGCAGAAAGTCTGCAGTTGTCATGGAGGTAGTTGAAACCAGAGTTTTTACAGTGCATTTTACATGCTTTACATTATTAATATTTGATGTTATAAGAGATAGCCGGAAGTCTTCAATATGAAATATTTTAGCTGTTAAATATGATCTATGCAGTGCACTAGGGAAAAGGGACATCCAGACTTGAGGTGTCTTAAGACAGCCTTAAGACGGTTAATTGCTTCAAGTGGGCCTCAGGGGACAATTTTTGTCTCACAAGTCTCAAAATTAATGTCACAAAACCACTGATGGATGGCAAGTTTCCACCTAAATAGAAACTTGAGCATATGTACACTGTGCCAAAAAAAAAAAAAAGAAAAGAAAATAACAGACAGTTCTATATCTCCCATTCTACTGAGCCGATTGACAAAATTCAAATTGCATTTCTCATATCTCGAAAGCGCGACTTGGGATATATATTAGATTTATATATAGGCACAATTTTTTCAGCTTGCGCCAAGAATAATTCACCTGGCGAACTTCTTCATGTATGACACCTCGTTCCTACCATTTTACATTGTGCGTTAGCGGGAACTAAGTCACTTCATTCTTGCTTTCAAATATTTTTAGCAAAGTGTCTAAACCACATTTGATGTTTTATTGCTTTCAACAAATATATCAAATTTCAAAACGTGCAAAATATATAAATTCACGTATATCTTTGGAAATTTTGAATAAAAAGCTGTAATTTTTTGCAGGTAAGCTTAGAAATATGTCTTCTTTGAGATGATGGTAAGAATTTTATAGATTATAATTCAAAATTTTTTTGAAAACTTTAAAAAATTATTTTAAAATACAAATTTAAAAAATAAATCATAAAAGATGGGTGAATTTTATTTGGAATGAACCTGAATTTCGAAATGTGAAAGGAAGAATCAAATAAGTTTAATAAAAAAGAGAAAATTAATAATTATATACCAAACTCAATTAATACTGAGGAGCTAAAATTTTGAGAGCTATATTTTTGAAAAACTACTCGTGCAATTTTTACAAAACTTGGTAGTCTGGCGTAATTTGAATCGTAGAATTGAAATATGGAAAAAAAATCGATATGTTATTTCAGAAAAAATCCAATTTTGTGTCAATATTAGAACAATGTTATATATAAATCTAATACATATCCTAAGTCGCACTTCAAGATATGAAAAACACAAGTTGAATTTCGTTAATCGGCCCAGTAGAACGGGAGTATAGAAATGTCCCCCCTTTTTTTTATGCAGGGTACATGTCAGAAATCACTGTCCCCCAGCCTTGACTGTGTGGAGCCAAACCCCTAAGGACAACCTTTGATAGCTGACCATGTAACATCCCCACAACCAAGGGGCAGACAAGACACTACAAGTGCAGTCCCTGTTGAGCCTGAACCTACCACTGAATAACCGATGGTTCTAGTCACTGCGAAGACAGTTTAGTTACACCTGAAGTTGACGCTGTCTAGATATTGATCTAGACAGTATGCTGGGATTGCCAATCTTAATCAATCTATGGGGATAAAAATATGATCCATGCAAGGAAATGCAACATTTCCATTGAGGAAATAGAAACTGTTTTCAGTTTATCAATAAAAATTAGGGGCAATATTACTTATAATAATCTCTCAATATAATTTCATATTCATGTTTCAGTGGCAAACAAGTTAGCCATGTGAAACCACTGAAAAAAAAAAATGGCAGACCGTATAAATCACAGGACAGCATGCAAAATAAGTTTACATCATATTAAATACTACCTGATACTTCATTTTCATTTTCTTTTACTATCAGGGTACAAAAGAAAATCATATTCATCAAAATCAGCATGTTTCCCTACTCTATGATCTAAGAAAAATTATATTCCCATATACAGCAAAATAATGCCTAGGCAAACAACTTAGATTATCATTTGCTGCCTATGCCATGTCCATATACTTTGATATCCCCACTGTGTTTCCCAAATATGTCCTCTATTGAGAATGAATGGTCAGTTGAAATACCAACTGTAGTGGTATCTGACATTTGAAACATTTCATCCAACAAATGTGGGTCTGCCATAGTATAGCATTGTCTGGATCCACTGCATGGTAAACCAAACTGGAGCATATGTTACAGCATACATTATTAGACTATGTGCCACAAATCCTTTTATAACTGTCCTGTCACTCTGTTCACTATCTCTATGGTTACATGAATAAAATTTTAGTTCAGTCCAATTCTTCTTCTTTCTGTCTTAATTTCTTCATTTGTGACTGAAAAATTAACACACAAAGAAGGAAGGTATTTGAAAAGAAACAAAATTCTCAATATGTATAGAATACAAATTAGTTATCAATGAAGTGATTTTCAGCAACATTAAAATTTAAGAACCGTTTTAGCATATTAATGAGGAAACTGCACATAAAAACCCAGTCTGTTAGATCAGAAATAAGGCAATCGATGAAAAATTATAACTTAAAAGTAGTTCTACAGGAATATCAAAAATAAAGTAATACACATCACTAAAGGTAAAAAATAACACTCAATCACTGATTAACAATAAAATAATAATAAAATTGATAAGAAACTTAAGTTAGGACCTTTCACAAAAGCATATAAAATTCAACAAAATGAATAGACTTATAAAATTCATCATAAAATCTGCATGCAGTTTTGCATGCTAAATGCTTTCATGCTTGTGACAAAAGAAAAAAAGGATATGCACCACATATAGTTCCAAATAATACTAAGTAATGTAATTACACAGCATCCAAATAATTATGTAATTTTTCATGTCCTTAAAAGTAAATTTTATAGTACCTTTAATGTTTATGGAATTAAATGTAACATTAAGCTGATAACGCCCAGAATGAGATGGGTTAAATGACACTTTATAGATTCCATTTCCTTGCTGGTCAATTACTAAAGGAACAGGAAATGAGTTGTGGAATAATTCAATCTTCATCTCTCCCCAGCCTGCAGAACTGGCATCTATAATAAATGTTTTATCTTTGCCTTTAAGTGTAGGCCCTAAACCTTGCACCTAGAAGAAAATCACTTTTTGAACAAAATCGTGTTTAATATAAATGTAATCTAATTTACACAGAAAAGAGTCACTACCATTTAATTCATAAAAAATGGAAAACATTTTAAGTTACATTGTTACATGATGAATTTTGCCTTGTTTAATAAAGGACATGTGGCAAATAAAGAATATAAGGAGCATTACCTTCACTTTTAAGGGGTCATATACATAGCACATAAATGGGCTGCCTTGTATGTGTTCACCTGCATAGGTAACTATAATTTTCCATTCACCTGCAAATAACAGAACATCAAATAAACCAAACAAGCAATGGGAAACAAAATTTTTAGGCTAATAATAAATATAAAATCCATAGACTGAAAGTTGAATAATGAGGAAGAAAAAGCAAGGGTACAAGATTGTTTAGGGAATGTGTAGATAAGTTGTTGTACTATATGTATGAATGAAAAGAGCTTAAAATTAATGACACCATACATTTTCACAATATTGGTAAATGTTTTATAAAATGTCAAAAATCCTTCTAAAAAAAGGGGGATATAAGAGAGCTCTTCCAGAAGGAATACCAGAAGCTTAGCTGAATTTTATCATTTTAATTAAATACTATAATACACTATTTCCTTCATTTAAAAGCTTTGAAAAGGTGATTTACTTCTGTTACCACCAATTATTTATAATTTTACATGACTATTTTTTGATTATCTGTATTTTCTGTGTATCTGTCTACTAATCAGTATGAACACTAATTAGCTTAGTGCACTTCAAAACTATCAACTGCATGATAACAAGAATCTTCATTTTCTACATAGATCTGCATATACTCTGATTCTACCTGCCTACACTGCTTACTCAGCTGCTTTCACAGATGATTAGATCATTAGCAAAGATTGGCTACCAAGATTATGGCCTTGAGTTTGAATTCTGAATAAAGCAGAAATGTTTGTGGTTTCTCTTCCCCAATTTTTGAAGATACAATATTAGTCACATTCAGGCAGTTCTCAAAAATGAAATGACCAATGGATTTAGCCATCCTACTTGCAAATACCTAAAGTAAAGTGTCTGCCACTACCAAACACAATTTCTATTCATTCGAACTTTTCTGAAGCAGCAGCTATTTTGTGGCTATTACTTTTAAAATTTTTCAATGAATCAGCTAAAAAGCTATTCCACAAAAATTATTTTTTCAAACACTTTTCTGGGTATGTTTCAGTTTTCCAGATGTCATTATTTATTTGAGAAAAGCAAAATTATTTTTATCCCTTATATGACATCTTAAAACTAACCAATTTGGGGGGACGCATTTTCCTACCTTAAGTACCTTTCAAGCCAGAAAAAGCCTATATAAAATGTCATCTCACAATTTTAATGTACTTTCAAGTACAAAAAAAAATGGTAAAAAACTCATATAAACGAAGTTGCAAGGCACATAAAGAGTTTTTATTTTAAATAATTTTGCGGACAGGAACAGACATATTTTTCCCTCATAAGATAACCTTAATAACAATTCTGTTTTATCAAAATCTAGACAACTTAATCATAACAAGATCACAAAAGCTAGCTGCTTAAAAGGGAATAAATTCATTTGTGCAGGACTTTCTAGAGAAACTGATTTGCATTTATGTGAAAACACAGCAATACCTGTGTACTTCAATTATTACTAATTAAAATCCTTGAATTCATATGAATGACATTAACACATGAAATTTCTAATTTTGAATTACGAAATTCTGCTTATAATTTGATGCATCTGAGGTAAAGCCCAGGCAGCATTCTCTAAACAGCCACTTGTATTCTATCTATAAACCATATGCTAAGTATGCCTTGCTATAGCAATTCAGCGTTATAATGCAAAATTATATTTAGTTGAAAATAATAACCATTACTGTTTTACGCACCATCAAACACAACTGCATAAGAGATCAGAAAAATTAGCTGATAATTTACAAATAAAACTTGCCAATTTCATCTGGAGTGAATGTGGCGGTATATACACCATCATTTTCTACAACTGTGCACTTCCTCAGTTTCCCTGAAGGAGACAAAGCTTCAACAAATACATTTCCGCCTCCAACACCATTGGAATTAATCTGTGAATAAACATGTCATGTATAATCCTTAGACTTGGAACAAAATACATATCTACATTATTCTACAATAATATCTCCCTTTCTAATACCCAAAGAATAAACATTTATGTTCCTATACATAAATTTAACTTAAGAAATCATAAGTTTACTGTTTTAACAAAATAAACTAATCTATTTTGATATAAATTAACAAAATATGAACTAAATACATTACTTGCATTAATCTTACACAGGAGTGCTAAAAGATGCAGTTCTGTTGAGTTAGAAGCAAGATTTATTCAAACCCTTAAAGAATACTTTATTTTTGAGAGAGACTGACTAATGCAAGTCATTTCAAAAGTTCTAATAACATAAAAGTAACATAAAAACCTTAGAGAATCTTTTAAAAATTTTTGCACCATGCGTTACACCACACATGCATGTGTCACATGTCACATTAGCAAGTGTTGTCATTTCACAAAATACAAAGTCTTTAACTCACTATGCTCACACATAACCATTTTTCAGAATATTGTAACTTCAGCAAAACATAAAATCTTTAACAGTCTGCTACTGCTTGACATAGTGGTTTAGAAGAAAAAAAATAAACATACTTCTCGATTTAAATCTTTATTTTGTGTTTTTAATAACATTTATTCATATAATTTAAAATATATTTAGTTTGTGATGCAATCAAATGATAGATAAGAATATTTGCCATATTACTGCAATCAATAAAAAATGTTTGTAACACAATGAGTTATGTAACCTAATGCAGAACTGTTTGGCTTTGCATATTTTATTTGACTTCAGTTATTAACTTCTTATACATTTGTTGGTGGATTCTTTAACTGCTATATAAACCAGGAATTATGTTCTTATCTACTTTGTACATATGCACATGTATAACTTTAAGTAAAGACATAACTATATGTGCACATTTATTTTCAAGTATGTCTGTGCACATATATGATTACTTTCAAGTGTTTACTTGTACGTCTTCATGTATTAGATATTTGTCAGATGTTGTGGTCAGATATTTGTTTTTTCTCCATTGTTATTTGAAGTAACATGAAAAGCATTTCGTCACAGTGCTACATGTATTTTAGCAACTCTATTTTCGTTCAGAACTTTTATTCATCATTTCTGAAATTCAGTTTACAGTTTTCATTTTTAGGCGTAACGGAGTGCCAAATAGGGAAAAATGGGCATTTCACACATCTTCTTTCTCTAAGTTCTAAAGCACCCAGAGCTTATTAGGATATTTGTACTGTGTATGGAAATGTAATTTTATCAAAAGAACTGCAAAGAAATGATATTTAGCCTACAAGAATTCAGCCTTGCAGTCTCATCCATGATGGTACTCATTAATAAAAGTTTAATTTTAAAGTCTCAATATTTCACAACATTAAAGTGTTAGTTAATTGTAAAAGACTGAGTTCAGATACCTGACATCAGTACAGAATGTTATGATTTTAGAGAATGTGGTAGTTCTTGCTATGATAAATGTTTTTTAATAAAGTTTTTTCATGCATTAATTTTTGGTATTTTTTTGTAATGGATGTTGCTTAGATAATATAGTACTGAGATCCAGACTTGTCGGGTCTTCTGCGATTCCAGATTTGGAATTTTTCCGGATATTAGATCATCAGTTTAAACCTAGTAAGATAAATTATAAAATTAAAAATATGAAATCGTGATTTATGAAATAATGAAGCATTTATGACCTAAAGGGTTCAAAGGGGATCTAAAGGTTCTTGTACAGTTACGAAGTTCCATTGTTCACGTCCTGTAACTGCTGTGTCAAGAATTCTGACTAACTTGTCAATCAAAATTTTTTCATTTTCAGTAACCTTTCTGTCACTTTCTTCACTATTGGTAGCGGTATTTTCCGGATGTAGAACAATACTACAGATTTCGCTGTCTAATTGATTGATGATTGGGGCATTGTTATAACAAAACTTCTGTAATATCATCTTCATTTATTACCACTTCTCCACATTTCTTTACAAAATCCATCAATTCAAAAATTTCACCTTTGCAATATCCGAGAACCTTCAAATTCGCAGCTATCATCTTCATCATCCTCACCTTCAAATATGGTAGCTGGCCATAATTTATGCCAAGCATTTTTTAAAGTACATGGAGACACATCCTTCCACAATCTTGCGATGCTCCACACAGCAGATTTTATGCTAAAATATTGAAACAATTTTTGGATAGTCTTGCCATTATTCAAGAAATTAAACATGGATTTTTAAATGCTACTTTATACTTGCATTTTTACTTGCAAGAAAAGAGAAAATGTTAAGGGAAGTAATATGAGTAATTTAAATATGTTTCTTAATGATTATGATCTCCTTTGTGTTGGCAGTCGGCTTGTCCATTCTGATTTTTCATTCGACCAGAAACATCCTATTTTACTTTCTCAAGATCATAAACTAACTAATATTATAATGAACCATTTTCATATAAAAAATTTGCACATTAAGGCTAAAACTCTACTTAATATTTTAAGCCAAGAGTATTGGCCACTAAATGGAAGAAATAATGATAGGAGAATTGTACATCAATGCATCAAATGCTTCAAGGTAAAACCTAAAATAGAAGAGCAGTTAATGACATCATAGCCTAAGGAAAGAGTCACAGTAAATCCCCTTTTTCTAACACTGGTATAGACCTTAGAGGTCCATTTTACATAAAAAGTAAAAATCAACATAAAGGAACTTTAAACAAAATTTATGTAGCAGTATTTGTTTGTTTTGCCACTCGTGCAATACACTTAGAAATTTTCACTGATCTAACAGCTGAGGCTTTAATTGCTACTTTAAAATGATTTTTTGCTTGTCGTGGCTTTTCTTCTACAATATTTTTAGACAATGCTACTAATTTCGTAGGCGCTAATTCAGACCTGAAAAAAATTGTATCACCTCGCTTGCAGCCCTCCTGAAAATTTAGCTGATTAATTAGTTTCGCAGGCAATTTCTTGGAAATTTTTACCTCCTAGATCTCCTAATTTTGGCGGACTCTGGGATGCAAGAGTTAAGTCATTTAAATATTATCTAAAAAGGGTAGTAAGAAATTCCAAATTAACTCTTGAAGAATTTTTAACAGTTGTCAATCAAGTTTAAGGTATCCTTAACAGTCGACCACTCGTTTTATTATCATCACATCCAAATGATTTCGAGATTTCAACACCCAGCCATTTCTTAATTGGTCGACCTATTAATGCCATTTCTGAACCTCAACTAATTAATGTCTGAACTAATAGACTTTCTAGATGGCAACAAGTTCAAAAACCTAGTCAAATTACTTAGCAAAAATGGTCAAGAGATTATTTAAATAATCTAAAACAATGCGGAAAATGGCAGTTTGAAAAAAGTAATATCCAAAAGGATAGCCTTGTATTGTTAAAGGAAGATAACCTACCAATTTGTTCTTAGTTAATTGGTCGAATTTATGGATAATACCTGAAAAAGATGGAAAAATAAGTGTTGTTCTAGTAAAAACATCTCGCCGGATATTTAAACCTAGCATTTCTAATAAATGTTTATTGCCTGGAAATAATACCTAATCCTTGTATACTCTTACAGAATTTTAGTGTTTTTATGAATAATGTATATTGTATTTAAGCGTATTTTGCTATTAGTATGTTAGTTTGAATTTTGAAATGCCTTATTACATAATTTCTTAAAAAATTTCATTGTAATGTGCTAAACTAATTTTGTTGAAATCTTAAGAATTTCAAAGTCGAGCAGTGTTAATGCCACTCTGTAGAATAGCCATTAAAAGTGGTTATATTTGGATTGCTCAATATGGCAACGCTATGGTTGCTTCGATAATGTAGTTTATAAAAACTTTAGTCGTTTGTTTCTTTCACACTGCTTCATCGGAAGCAAAATTTGAAAGGTTAAATAAAAATATTAAAAATGTTAAATGGTATTTGTATTTTAAAATTATATTACAGTCCACTTAAAAATAATGAAACACAGTGTATGAACATGAACAGAGATTTCTGAGCCTGATCAACACTGGTAATGAAAAATGGAGTACAGTTTACAATTGTATGAAACAGCAGAAAAAATAGCTGCATTTTTATAAGCAAGCAAGACATCAAACAAAAATAAGAGTTGCCCCCAACCAGAAAACAAGGTGCCTTTTTTTGACAATGGACAAATAAATTGCAATCAACAGTATAAAATATTTGAAAACAACAACATGGTCAATGCAGAACATTTACATCAGCAAATGCCACAGTTTAATGAGGCAAATCCAATTGAAGTAAATAAACTGCAGACAGCATGCTTCTTCAACATGAAACCACCAGCCTTCATGCAAATAATTTCATCAAAACTGCTCTTCAAGAGCATAACTGAGAAGCTGTACTGCACTTTCCATATTGCCCAGATCAAGAACGATTCAGATTGTTACACTTTCAGGTTTTGTTTGATTCATTTGATTACCCTTATGCACTTTGCCAAAGGGGAGGGATGGCTCCATGTAGGACTTTCTACGGGAACCCGGCTTGTATCCACATTACACATGGAAAAAACCTCAAAAACAGCCATGCAACCAGCCCATTCACTGGGATGTGAACTCGAGTCAAACTATTAATAATTGGCTACTTTACTGCTTGGTCACAGTGGGCTGTTGCATTTTCAGCCACTAGTCAACAATCTAAAAGTATTTCATTCAATTACATGAAGTTGAAAATGTGGCTCAAAGACTATTTTAAACCATAAACCAAAGTTCAATTGAGTATAAGAAAACACAATTCTGACCGACATAGAGTTTTAGAAGAAGCACTTTCAGCGATTCAACCACAATCATCTTTTGCTGCAACTAAATGAATGACAATACCACAAAAAAAAAAAAAAAAAAGAGTAAATTTAAATGTCAAGAATATATTAGAAACTGATCATGATGCCCTCTATAATGAAGAGAAAGAAGTGCAGAAAATGAAAGAAATCAAGCAGTCCCATCTAAGAATAGAAAATGCAATCAGAAATGATCTGCTTACA